AAATTTAAAATAAATTATGCATATAAATAAATATTATGGTTGAATATATAAATTATATTCAAATTTATATAAATAGATATTTTTAAATATATAAATTTTATTTTATATTTATAATAAAATAATTTATATTTTAGTATAAATATATATTTATCTATTAATAATTTATTTTAAAATATAATATTTAATTCATAAATAATTGTAATAAATAAAAGTTAAATTAGAAAAATAATTAAGAAAATCTTCACAAATTTTTTCCGTGTTTAATATATAAGAATTGATTAAAGTAAAAATTTTATAAAATTAAAGGTTAAAATTATCTACTCTTATAAATAAATTTTTTTTTTGAGATATTTATGATTTATAATAATAAAAAAAGACTAAATTAAATATATGTTTGCTTAAACTTTGCGTCTTTTTAAATTGTTTCAAAATCTTTTCAAATCAGATTCGACGTGAAAAATCAAGTTTTTGGGACATCTCCAATGGAAGCAACTCATTTGAGTTGCTTCATGCATTGAAAAATGAAAAAAGTGGTCCCTAGTGTTCCATGTCAGCATTAAGCAACTCAAACAGAAATTTACTCCAATAGTAAGAAACTTTAAGAAATTCAACTTTTAGAATTTTTTTTTCAAATCATTTATGAACCAAATTAAATTTTTTATTAAAAAAGACAATTGCACTACAATAAAAGAAAATAAATACATAAACATTATACAAAACTAATTTTCTTTTAAAAAAAATAGCCAACAGCTACTTTAATGGTAATTTTAGGATATTTTTTTTATTTATTTTTTATTTTTTAATTTATATTTATTATTTCTTATTTTTAACCCAACGTCTCTTTCTTCTTCAGAGGATTTTTCCTTTTTCTTCACGGCCTCAACGATCCAACAAGCAAAGTCACTGAAAAAAAAAAGGAAAAAAAAAAAAAAAAAAAACCCTTCACTGAAGGGCATCAACCTCATTGAAGGCACCAACCTCCAATTTCCCTTCACTGGCACCACCATCATCGCCTCCTCCGCCACTAGAACACGTTCGAACAGTACTTGAGGAACCACAGACCCCCTCTCTCACTCTCACGCTGTAGCGGCACGCACGTGCTGGAATTCCTTCGGTACCTCATCCACCCGCGTGCCTCCGCTATCCACCCGCGCTCCTTCGCCGTCCACCCGCGCGCCTCCGCCGTCCAACCACCGCCTCACCACCGTGCCTCCTTCCGTTCACAAAGGTAAGGAACGGTTGCTTCACTAAGCAACCCTCTCTCCTCTGCAAGAAACTCTCACTGCCACATCAGACCTCTCCAATGGTAAGAAACTGAGATTGGAGTTGCTTGATGGGCCAAGCAACTACCATTGGAGTTGGTCTTAATGTAGGGGTGAGCATAAAATCGAGACCCAAACCAAACCCAAAAAACTCAATAAAAATATTACTTTTGAGTGGGTTCGAGCGGGTTTTACGGGTAAATCGGGTTAAAATTTTGATTTTATACGGGTTATATTGGGCGGGGGGGTCGGTTTTAAATTTTTAAACCCGCTAAAAACCGAACCCAACCAAAAATTAGATAAGTTTAGATTTTTATTACTTTTGTATAACTAAACAACAATGGTCTAAACTTAAAAGTCTTTATTTCAAGTATAATATAGTCATCAATTTGTAACTTTTTTTTTCTTTTTCTCATAACCTAAATATTTCTTTTGTTTTCTCCTTCCTCATTCAATTTCTCAACACACTAGTCTACTTTTAGATTTTTCTTCTTGTTTCTTTCTTTATCTTTCTTTTTCATCTTCCTATTTTCATTTTGAGTACAACTTGTGCGACAATGGTTTCTTATAGATTTTGTAATCTAACTTTAGATTTCTTTTGTATGTAACAACTATGGATTTTGTTATCTTTTCGTTTTGCTTCTTTAGTTTGTAAATGTTTCATTTACGAATCTACTTACATCATCTATTATTACTTTCATTCTATTTTTGTACACTGTTTAAAAATATTTTTTTACCGTTTTAAGTTTCACCTTCATTAAAATAACTTGGTCCACAAAAAATCTCAAATCCGATTGTACCCACCCGCCCAAATCCAAATCCGTTACAACCCGAACCACCTCAAACGGAAAGCTTAGTCGGCCGGATAGATGTCACATTTTTCCAAAGTCGATTTACAAACGGATTGAACATTTTTCACCTGAACCCGTCCGCTGCCCACCCCTACTTTAATGCATGAACAAACAGTCAAATAAAAAAGATTCCAAAGCAAATGATGCTAATTTGCAAAATGTCGAAAATTTAAGGTGATTCCATACCATAGTCTTCCTTCCTTATTTTACATATCCTTAAGAAAGTGACGTGTTCTCTTCATAAGGACAATTAATATTTGTTAGCCAACCTGGTAGTTTCATATTCCTTTAGTACCAAACAAATACACCTGCACCATTAAAATTTAATCTGCAAACTTCTTATCTCAGATTTAGAAAACACGTTTTGAAAGGGAAAAAAAATAATAATAGTAGAAAGCAAAGCATCTCTTGTGTCTTTTATATCTGAAGTGAAAGAAGATTATTACTATTATGAACAGTATGCAATAAATGAGTTGTTGGTAATTGGTTTGTATGTGAGGCGTAAAGGTGACGTTCCTTTCAGTTTCGATGTGAAAAAGTTCCAATATTCCAATCCGTTGCTAATAATTCCATTTTCTTTTTGTTGGCAAAAGGCAACCGCGTACTACTTAATACAAGTCCCTTTCCTTGCCAATGTCCAGACATTGGGAGTGACGTGCTAAGCCAAGAACTACAGTTCTTCCAAATAACTACAAACCACAACACAACCCATAACAAATGCACACTCCATTAGAAAACTCCAATCACACTACTGAAAAAAAAAATATTTAAGAACATCTTCGGATATAAATTTAGAAGAAAAATTTCTCAAAAAATACTTTTAGTA